CCTGGGAGGCTGAACACAGGCAGACTGCTGCGAGTCTATAGGCCCTGCAGACCCTGTCCTAAAGTACAAAAAAAAAAAAAAAGAAAAGAAATAAGAAGACAGAGAGATTTTGCAAATGGGAGGGGCCTGAGAGATGGAGGGAGAGGGGAGAGGGGGGTAGAGGAGATGACAAATAATTCGGCTGGTGTGCTGCACATGCATGGCGGCCCAAGCGAACATCATCATTACCTGCTGCAAATTCAACCAATACAAAAAATCTGGAAAAACCTACATCCAAATAAACAAAAGAGATGTTTGCAAAAGAAGAGAGATCACGTAGTCTTCTGTTTCTCTGCTGTCAAGTGAGAAAGGGCAGCAGAGTCCGGAGCAGAGGGAAGCATGGCCCCTCCGGGGGACGGGAGCACTAGAGGGCAGAAGGGCCAGAGCGGGCGCCCACCCCGACAGCCCTCAGCTCCCCCAGGCCCAGGAGGTGACTGCTGAGACCTAATGCACGTGAGGCAGCCCGGCTGGCACCAGCTCCACCCGCTCCCTGTGCCCGTACGCACCAGGGCGCCGGCCTCCCGTCCTCCTCTTCCTCGCCATCCAGGGATCTTGTCCTTGCTCCAGGAAGGAGATCATATCAGGCTTAGAGGCACAGAGACCTACACACAAGAAGACCAGGATGTGGTCAGGCTGTGGGCCTGTCCAGGCCGGAGATCCGGTCCCCTTGGCTCAATGGGTGAGGACAGTACACAGGGCAGGTGGTCAGGAAGGGTCAGAACAGCCTTACCAAGTGAGGCCAGGTTCCTATAGTTCTCCAGCATCACCTTCCTATACAAACTGCGCTGCATGGAGTTCAGCCACTGCCACTCGTCTCGGGAGAAGTCTACGACCACATCCCCAAAGGTCACCAAGCCCTGAAATGACATAACCGTGTCCTCACTCCATCCCGCTCAAGGCCCAGGGCTGTTCCTGCATGAAGCCCCTCCCCGACCCCTCGCTGGACGCCTCTGTCCCCAGTGCCTTGCAGCAGGACTCCATTTGGAGACAGGGCTTTCAGGGGATAAAGTTACACGAGGTCGAGGTCTACGGTGTAGCCCTCATCCAATAGGACAGGATGGAATGGAACTTGTAAGAAAACAACAGACAGCAGGAACGTGCACCCAGTGCGAGGTCACAGGGAAAAGGGACAATCTGCAAGTGAAGGAGTGGCCTCAAGAGAAACCACACCCAGCGACACCTTGGTCTTGATCTCTAGCTTCCAGGATTGAGAAGAGGCTTCTGCGTTTTGACACCTCACTGGTAGTCTGTTAGGGCATCCGCGGAAGAACACCCTGGGTCTGAAGACCGCCTTGTCTTTGCTTCAGTAAGAGACGCATACTTAGTTATCTGGAAAGCTCGGTAACTGCTGGACAGCTTGCCCACTTCTTTCTTCCTTTCTTGTGCTGTGGACCTAGCGCACACCAAGCATGCACTTCACCTGCGCCCCTCAGAAGCTGGTCCTCGGGCATAACCTCAGAGCAAAGAGATGACAGGGAGACCACGCTGCCCTTGGAGAACTGCTGTGTGGGGGAGCTGAGAGGGGTAGCACATCCACAAAGCACTCACTGGCGGCTCCAGACAATCAGCACCACCGTGGGCTCCATGGTCAGAAGGTGCGCGAGAACAGTTCCTAGCTAGAGGCGTGCACGTGGCCACAGCGGCCCAACAGGAGACAAGCGTGGGGTGAACCTCAAAGGTCAGCACGGCCACCTCCAAGCCAGGCCTAAGGGTTGCTAGTTCACATTCAGTGTTAACTCCATGTTCATTGAAACAAAATAATCATATTCCTTGTGTGAAGACATAACATCGACATTTAAAAACACAGCTTTCCTACAGACCAGTAATAAACAGTCTGAGAAAAACAGAACAAAACAAAACAGAAAAACACCTCCATTTATAAGCATGAAGAAATCACCCAGGAATAAACCTACTCAAACGGGAAAGAATGCTACAATGAACACCACAGATGAATGAAGAAAGGACTTGAAGAAGACACTAGAATACGGGAAGAGTGACGATGCTCATGGATCAACCTAGCCACGTTCCTGAAAGTGACCTAGAGACTCAAAACAAACCTATCAAAATACCAACAGCATGCTTCACAGCGCTAGGAAAAAAGTTTTAAAACTCATGCGGAAACACAGAGGACCCAGACTAGCCAAGGGAATCTTCAGCAAAGAAAACAATGAAGGCAATATCATGGTACCCGATTTTACGTTGTACTACAAAACCGCAGTAACAAAAACATCACGGTACGGGCATGGAAGTAGACATAGACTAATGGGACAGAGGACACAGAAACAAAC